TTATTGCCAGTCAAATGCGAATGGTGACAAAGTTGTCCTCAAAGGGGAGAGGCGGGGGTTAAATGTGGACACGTATATGAGATGCTTCACCTGGTGCTCTGCTGATCATAAGAGCTCAATAGATTTTATTGTTATTTTTATTATTATTTTTTTATTTTTTATTTTTTTAATTTTGTTATTGTTTTCAAAAGATATTCAGGGAAATTGCAGGGAAATTCAGCCTTGACTGGCCCTCACCTCCTAGAGCATTGCTGACTATCCCTTTAGGCTTATCGGCAAAGCCCAAGGAACAAGGTTTCATCTATAAAGAGGCCTTTCCTTCACTGAGGCAGCTCCTGTCTACATGCAGTTTTGGCTAAGAACAACATTTTCAGTAAATAAGCAAGGGACACCAAGTTGTCTGCCCAGAGCCCACACTTCACAGGCAGCCTTTCCACCTGAGTGATTCACCAGCACTCTCTTCTGCCTCCCACAGGGCAAAGGAGAACAAACAACTTTCTGGTTGAAAGGCAAGGAAGGCTTTACTATTCCACTCCCTCAATTTATGGAAGAGGAAGCTAAAGTCCCAGAGATCTTCTGAGCTATTTTCTTTAAAGATGTTTATGGGGTCCCATGAAAGTCTGAGGACCATTCTGTGAGATGCATTGAATATCCTATTCAGGAGGTGTAGATCTGGGGGAGCCAGTAGGGGGAGCCATCTAGCTGGCCTCCCCTTCCTGCCCTAGAGTTCTGTGGCCTAGACCAAATGAGGAGTTCGAAGAGCTGGATATAGTGAACTCATTTTCTGGGCGACCAGGGCTGGGCTGTTGCTCCCAGACCTGCCAGTGAACTTGTCCTGGCTGCCAGATATTTCCGGCCTATTAGCTTGTGAATTTGCAGTGAACCCAATTTCATTCGGAGAGAGAGGAAAGCTAGAACAAAACCTGGAGCTGTTGGCCCCACCCTGTGCTGCCTTCCTTTGCAAGGGGCTGATCTCTAACCCTTGGTTATCAGAAGGCATCTCAGGAATGTTTTGGGGGGGGATAAAGCTCTAGCTAAGGTGCGAACAACCACTGAAATCCAACAGGATCAGGCCATTCCAGGTACGCCATATCTTGGCAGTCAGTCCCTGGAAAGCCTGGTCCTGAGCTCTGATTTTCTGTGAGCACAGCAGCTTTCAAATGGAAATGTCCCATTCTCAATTTATTGCTTAATTTCTTTCCTATCCAAAGCGAAGGAGTAAAGATAGGCTTTTCCTCCAATCAAGGCTTGAATTTTAAGTGGAATTTTTCATTCACTTATGAATTGCTATTTTTTTTCGATCTCTGATAGACGAAGATGAACCCATCCATTCTGCAATACACATTTTCCCCTTTACATGAAGAACAGGATTTCATCATGCCTGTCAAGTGGTTTCTTGTAGTAGACTTACTGAACCACTAATGAACTTACAGTCCTTTTTTTTGTTTGTTTGTTTTGATCCCTTGCAACTCCTCACATCCAGTTTTTCTTCCTTGTGGCTGCTCTTAAATATGGGAGAGTGCTTCAGATGATATATTGTGTTTGAGACCTTTTCCTGGTGAATTTCTCATGACTGGAAAAGTGAGAATCAATGAGACTGGGAATGTTTTCTTTTGTACGTGACCTGTGAGCTGCCTTTGTAGGGATATTTTTGATCTCTGTATAGGAAAATAAGCTACTTTTTGGTGAGTTTAGAGCCGTTAATAACACATTTTACAAAAAGTTTGGTGGAATTCTTGCCTTTTTTAGGAAGAGAGACACTAAATAGGGGCCAAGGGAAATGCTTTACAAACAGTCCCATCTTCATGGAACTACTCTGTGCTTCCATTGGCAGGACTTTGCTTCTGCCCAGAGAGAGGCGACTGAGCTCTAGGACTTTCACAGATTCCATTCGCTCTAACATGATCCCATTTTTATTGTGGTGAGATCTGCTCCTCTCTCTAGGCCTTTCATCCAAGATTGAAAGTATTAGTCAAAAGAAGGCATTTATCTGAAAGTGACAGGGGAGCTTCCCTTGCTACCTCAGCATAGCAACAATGGACCAATATTTGTCTTCTCATCCTTCAGGACTTCTTCCCTTATTTGGGAGCAGGGCTTCTGGATTCCAAACGCTTTGTTCTACCATGGAAGGGAATAGAACAACCTCTGCTATTGTTGGGGAAGAAATACCCCTTCCCCATCCATCCATCCATCCATCTATCCATCTATCCATCAATATGACATTTCATTTATTCAAAGAGCATTTTTATAGCACTTACTCTTTGCCAGGTACCATATGGTGGCTGGGGTGGGGTGAGGGGGTGGAGGGGAGATGAGGATATGACACTTTCCTTGATCTTTAGCTCTCAGTTTAGTTGAAGAGAGGTGACACAAGTTTTAGTACTGTTATATTAAGGACTAATACAGGTATATACCAAAGTATAGGGAACTAAGAAGTCCAATGTTGTTGCATTTAAAAAGCATTAGAAAATGATACACAGATGTAGGGGTAGGGTGGGACATAAGGATTGCCTAATATTATCCCAGCTTTGTATTTGTATGTAGTGTGTGTGTTTGTTCCCTTCCAGCTCTAGCCCACGTGCTGACCCAAGTAATGTTTATACAATAAAGACTTTGCTACTTCTGTCTTTTTCATGGAACATTATAAACATTTGGCATCTACGCTCATACAAACACATAATACATATATCTACACATGTGCATCCACATACATTCACATGTGCACACACATGTACATGTATACACACATGAATGTCTGTCTAAATCTGTCTCTTTTGGTTGATCAATAGGTAAAGATTCATGTGTGTATATTCAGTATATATGTGTATATGTATATATGCATGTCTGTCTATTTTTTCTTTCTATTACTCAAGCTTTGAGAGAGAAGGAGAGACTTTAAGGATCATAAGCAGGAATTTGATAAGATTAATTTCCTAAAATCTACATCCGATGTTTTTTCTATGTCAACCAAGGATACCTAAGGGAAAATATACTCTTTATTTGTTCTATAAATATATCTTATGTTTGACACTCACAAGCATTTATAACAGATTGAGTGTTTTCTCTTAATTCCTTGATAGAGAAGTTAGAAGATACAAAGGACTTTAGTTAACCTGAGATTGAAACATTTTTGGTTGTTGGTGATTGACGTTAGGGCATTAGAGACGTGGAGAGCACACAGATGGCTTTGCCTCCTTGCATCAGAAACTGAATGCTGGAAGTTTTGGAAAGTAAATATAGGGTAGAATGATGGAAAGTCGGTGGTATGTATGTAAGTCTAATAAGTTCTAGTTGTAGGAACCTCTGGGAGGGTCGAGGAGTTGGCTATCAATATGACATATTAACACTGTAAGCTGTAGCCATAGTTTAATTATTTTAAGGCATTTTATTTATTCTATAGAACCAGGTGGAGATACAAGATCATTAAACAATATGATAAAATAAAGCAAAACTAATACAGCATTGTTTTACTCTGACGGCCAAAGATATATGATAATGTCTCTATGCTATTTAAGAGTTTTTGACTAGAACCAATAAAATATGTCTTTTGTCCTTCCTGACTATAAAAATTCTGAGTTTACAGGAAGAAGAGATCCCAAACTAGTTGGAACTCCAGCTTTGAGACCAGTTTAAGCTTCCTTGAGTCACTTGAATCTAGTCTGTTGCTAAATAAACATTTACTCCCTGTGATCAGACATTTGGGAACTAGCTGCATTTCTCAGTTTCTTAACACGGTTGTAAAAGCCCCAACAAACTACAGATCTCAAAACTTCTCAAATACATTAAACATGGAGATACAAACTGATGTGTTTTCAAATTATAAGGCCACTAATTAAGTCTGTACAAGACGAAGGAAGAAAAAGTAGAGCTCTGGCTTTTTCTAGCACATTCTAGCTTCTAAGGATTTGCCAGTTCTCTATGAGGATTGGTTCATTTACTTTTCTTATCCTGTTGACCATGTGCATCATTAAAATCAACGTCTTCCGGATCACTGGGGTGGCAGTATTATCAGGGTGCAGCACCACGTGATTCCACGGGCTGTTTTTGCATGTGTGTTTCTGACTTTTGTGTGTGTGTGTGTGTGTGTGTGGGTTCCATTCTAATGATCAGAAGTTAATGAGACCAAGACAGATACCTGCTTCACTGTTAAACTAAAGGCTAAATGAAGTCAGTCCATTTGGTACTGATGCTTTCTTAAATCAAGTAGAAAACAAATAGTGAGAGCATCGAGCATCACAAGGTATACTGTAGGATTGGGAACTCCAGAGACCTTGTCACCGATGTCACTCCAGAGTCATGTTGCCAGCAGCAGGTTTCATTTAGGCAGTGCCACAGTAGGAGGTTAAATTTATGTTGATGTGAGTTTCATTCTTTTTGTAGCTTTATTCCTTTTTCATCTGTAATTTTCTTTTGATTTTAGAAATCAATCAAATATAAAAATGAGTCAGTTAATACCTCTATAATGTTTATACATATTGAAGAAACACTACAATAAAAACAAATTAGGTTAGCACTGGGGGCCTCTCAGGAATTATTTTCTTTTATAATACTCAGGTTTAAGCAAAACTATTATATTCCACTCTGATTCCCACATATCATCATTTGAAAGATTGGAACCCCCTGCCTGGTGGCTCAGCCCTGGTTCTTAAATAAGCATTGCACAACATCAGGGACAAAGGCCCCCTCTTGGCAAAATTGGCTATTCCTGTGCATTCTGTACTTAGCACTGACTTGGTGGTTATGCCCTACATTCTCGTCAAAATGTTCAGCTGCACTTGGTTGGGTGTGCTAGTGTTTTAAAATTAGAATGGCTTTCAAAGAAGTCCACTGCAGCCCTGACTTGAGCCTGGGGAAAGGAGACTTCTCGGCCAGCTGCCGGAGAGAGACTGTAGGATCTCAGAGCCACAGGAAGTCACAAGAGGAAGGAGGGCACCAAAGACAATCACTGAAAGGCGCAAAAATCAATGGAACACGTAATTGGCAAAGCGCTATTCTCCGCTCCTCAACAGTATGTTCTTCTGTTTGTTCTTGTTGGCAGCACAATAAATGGGAGTTTGTCATCGACACAGGAGATGATGTTGGGTGGAGGAGATGCCACTGCCTGCCTGGCGATCCCCTACAACACGGCACAAATCCCCAGCATCACGATGAGGTGATAGAGGACGTCTGGGAATCAGATAGGAAAGCAGACACAAACAGTTTACATGGACGGTGGCAACAAAGAGTTAACTCAACAGAAGAGGCAACTCGAGGGCATTAAGTAGGTTTACATAGACGCTGCACATTTTATACAAAATCAGTTATGTTTATCTTTTGGGGTTTCCGGAGCTTGGTTTTGTCAGTGCAAGGAGCCCGGCAGATTGACCTGGGTAACGGACCTCTGACAGATGGGACTCTGAACATGGATAACACAGTGACAGCACATTTCACCACAGGGCTTTCACTGTAGAACTTCCTCAAAAATGAGGATCTGGAATTAGAGTCTCAAAAAGTTGGTTTACATGATTTCCTGTAATCGTGAGGGCAAAGTCTACATCTGTGAGTTTGTTAATAAATAGAACCGTCTTACCCCATCTCCTCACATAGTTGTTCTCCTTCTCATCATTCGGGTGAGATCTTGGGTCTTAGCTGAAACGTTTCTTCTTCTGAGATGCTTCCCCGGCTGCTATCTAAATTACTCCTCTACCCCCACCCACCCCGACGCGTCCCACTAGTGGGAAGGGCAGGGGCTTTGCCCATCTCTCTCTGCAGGAGCACCACTGCCTGGAGGAGTAATCACGGCTGATCTTTACTGGATGTTTGCCGTATGCTGGGCACTGGCGCCCGTAGCTGTAACATTTAATCCACACAGCAGCTATGTATGATAGGAGCAATTGTTAGCCCAACTTCAAAGAGGAAACTGGGGAGGGGAAGGGTGACTTCATTGCCCATGGTCATTCAGTTAATGAGGGGCAGAGTCATAGCAGGGACTCAGAAATATTTGTGCAAAAAACAGATCATTGAAAACCACCTTCTCTAAATGCAGGAACCCAAGCAAAGCCCCTGGTGATGTTGTGCTGAGAAGCGGGGTCCAATTCTGCCTCGTCCGATTTAGCCCCAGCCCCACCCTGCCTGCAGAGCTCTGGGGCCGGCTGGAGAGACATCTACCTCCATCCCCCTCTGTCCCATTCAGGTGTGTTTTAAACAGCAAGTTTCAAGTCCCGAAGGTTTTGTTGGGGCCAAAGGTGAGCCTCTTTTAAAACACACGTCTACGTTGTAAAGGCATTACCCCATGATGTTTCCCAGAAGTGCCTCTTTTCCTTACCTGAGAAGCTATAGAGACTGGGGAATCCCGTGCCTGTAGTGAGTAAAGAGAGAGAATACTGAAGATTTAAGGAAAGGTCATGGAAGGAGCCTCAGAGCGATGCTTCTTAAGTACAAACCTGACCGCATCTCCCCCTGATTAAACCAGCAGACTCCCATTGCCTTTAGGATCAAAGTTTATAGTGGGTTTCATAAAAGCTTCTTTGAAAGGAGAAGAAAATCATTTTCTCCTTGGCTTTCTCAGGCAGGAGTTGATGAACTTTCTGGAAGGGACCAGAGAGTAAATATTCCAGCTATGGGCCGTATGGACCCTATTGCAACCACCTGATGCTGCCGTTAGAGCATGAAAGCACCTGGAGACAATACCGATATGAACCCACGTGGCTGTGTTCCCATAAAACTTGATAGAAAACTGAAATTTGATTTTTTTTTGTCATGTATACGTGACACGAAACGTCATTCTTTTGTTTCCAACCCTATAAGAAGGCCATGGCTCGTAGGCCCTAAAACATCAGGCAGCAGCCTGGATTGGGTCCCTGGCCGTAGTTTAGCAACTGTCCTCCAAGGTATGTAGCTACTAGAGGCCCCAGCCTTCCCGCAGGCCCTGCTCACCATTCACGTCATACCACTCTTCAGGTTGTCCTGAAGGATTACTGACGGAGGTCTTCCCCGGCCCTGGACGGGGGTGAATCCCCTTGCTGTGAACTCCCATGGCACCCTGCCTCATCCAGCCCCATTGACAGTCATCTGCCTCTCCCTTGGCATTTAGCAACTCTCTCCTTGCTAGATGTAAGTCCTTGAAGACAAGGGCCATTTGGGTCTCCTTTAATTCTGAAACCCCGGCGCCCAGCCCTGCCCAGGGTCAGCACTGACTGCTCTATGAAGTTTTGTCGACTTGAGCTAGATGTCCCCGGTACATTTCATCGTGTATTATCATTGTCGACCACATGCTCTGCCCGGAAGCTCAGAATTTCCTGATTCCTTGCGGGCATTGGAATTTAGGCTGCAGATAGAACGTTTCTGGGTCGTTCACAAGCCTCAACTTCTTGGTTTGGCATGAGCTACAGCTTCCCGGCCCCCCAGCTGGGAAGCCTTGAGTTGCAGGTGCAGGTAGTGTCTACAGGCACAACTGGTTTGGCAATTCAGTGAAAATGCTCAAACCGGCTGTGCCTGTGGACGCAGCCCAGAGTGAACTCAACCATTCGGAAAACAGAGAAGCTTACTACGGAGGGAGAGCTCCACTACGAGGACGCCCCCTGTCTGGTCCCGAAGGAGTCGCTTCCGTTTGTCACAAGTCTGGAGACCCAGGAGCAGCAGAGGGGAGGGGCGTGGAGAAGGGGGCACACAGGAGAGAACACAGGAGAGAAAAGAACACAGGAGAGAAAAGAGAGAAAGACAAGAGATTAAAAACAGAAGTCACAAACCTGATAGTCAAAATTCCCCAGCCAACAGGTGTTAGTTACCTTATTTGTCCGCTTATGTATTTACTTACAACCCAGAGCCAGAGTCCCTTCTCTAACTTGAGAAGAGGGCAAAGCTTTTCTTTATTAACTCTTCAGGCTGGAAGAAATCCCTCTGGGAGAGGTTGTTGGGTGTGGGAGGGATTGGCACTGTTTGTTTTGGTAAGCAAGGCTTTTACCCGCGGTTACTGTCATTGGACACTTGCAAATGTGTTCTGATTCATTTTCTTCTCTTTTTAAAATATAGTAGCAATAATTACGCTTTCCTTAACTGTAAAGCATCTCTCTGCTCCCTCCCTTTTATTTGTATTCCTACCTGACCATTTTCCAGCCAAGCAAATCAGTAGAAATAGAGATCATAATCTTATTTTGGTTGGTTACTACAGGCTACATGAGCAGGTGCCCTCTTTAGAAACTCTGTGTCCCTCCTGACTGGGGTCTCTTATCCAAATAGACCAGAGCAGGCAACACTCTGTGATTTAGCACTTTTAGGTCTAAGACAGTGGTTCTCAAACCTGAGCATGCCTCAGAATGGTCTGTTAAAGCACAGGTTTCTAGGCCCACCCAGTGTTTCTGAATCAGGCGGTCTGAGGGACGTGAGAATTTGCCTCCCTAACAAGCTCCCAGGTGACGCTGAGGCTGCCGCGGACCACACTGTGGACCAACTGATCTAAGGACCAGGTTCACACCTGGCAGCAGCGGTAGAGTGTCTCCCAGCTGAACTTGCTATGCGTGTTGATGGATTCTGCAGCAGCTCCTTGGTGGGTGATGCAGAGGGGAAAGCTGACCCCCGGCCTGGGCTGCACTGAACGTGGCTGTGAAGCAGGGGCGTCACCACCAGGCCCTTCCTCTCCCAAGGTCAGTTCAGCTGTGATGCGTGTCGGGAATTTCTGCGGTATCTCTCTAGTTCAAGTCCCAGAGATGGACCATTAGGCTGGCCAGGCAAGAGCTAAAAATACCCACCTTTTGACTTCCATCCAGTGCCTACTGCTACCGCCTAGGTTTTGAATTTTCCTTGTGCTTTTAACCGTCTCAAGGTATTTCCATGTCTGTCGTTGTACTCATTTTCCCTAACACAGCTGTCTGAAGAGGGAAGGGCCACCATGACTTATCACCACTGTCTTTAAAGATGAGAAAACCAGGCTCCAGAGATTAGCATATGCTAGACCATGTAGCTTGTTGGTGGCGAGGCAGACAGAGCCGGAAGGTCTGCCCCCATACCCAGTGCCCTTTCGTCCAGAATGCTCTCAGCACACGCGTACATTGGTCTGGTTACGATTCCCAGCTAAAAATACAACTTCTCAAATTCCGCCCCCACCCCCACCTCTGGTCACATCGCTTTCTGGAGAGAGGTGGCTCACCACTGGGCAGGAGAGCTTCTCACTGTCACAGATGAATGTCTCACAGTGTAACCAAACCTTGGAGAGTTTGGGGATGTTCTGGAACCGGAAAGCGTTGAATTGGAAGGTGGCTCTGTGATCTTTCCCATTCTCATGTACAAGGACTGTTTCATCTGTGGGGCAGCTGGAGCAGATGGGACAGGGGGAGAGAAAAAATCACCTCATGAACTCCAGCAAAGTCTTCTGAGGTAAATTCACAGACAACAGCAACACTCCCTTGAGCTTCTATACAGTACGTTATCCTCACAAAGCTCTTTGACTGGCAGCACCTTCCTTACCCTCATAATATGAGGTCAAGTTGAGGAGCTATGGGATGGGTGTGCTGGTCCTCATTCCATAGGGGTGGAGAGGAGTGAGAAGCTGCACACCTGGTAAGTCACCATACCTCTGTCCCCAAGAAGGGAAATCCTTGAGAGATGAAGTCGACTGAAGGACTGGGACATGTACAGACTCCCAGTATATGTACAAGATAAAGACACTGGCGCTGAGAAGAGTATTCCCAAAGTACTGCCATAGCCACCTAAGCCAAGTCATACCCAACATACTGCTCTGTGTACATTGTGAGGGTTTGCCACTGGGAATTTGAATTTATGTTATATTATTTAAATTCTGCATTATATCGTTACCTTTGTAAGAATTTGGTCATGTTTCTGATATTGGCATAGGAAAAAAATGACTGGAAGGATACCATCTAAATATTAACACTGGCTATAATGGAGTGGTAGAATTATGGACAGGTTTTGCTTTCTTCTTATATCTTTATATATTTTCCAAACTCTCTGCATGAAAATGTAATATTTGGGAAATTCCAAAGTCCCAAAGATAATCATTGCAATAGAAGAAACAATAATGACACAGATGGGCATTTTTCAAATTGCCCAAAAGTCAATGACTCTCACTGGGGGGCCATTTTGCGCTCTGAAGACATTTAACATTGTGGTTGTCATGATAGGGAGACGGTGGTACACATGTAGTAAGTAGAGGCCAGGGACGCTGCACATCATTGTACAATGCACAGGACAGCACCCCGCCCAACAAAGAATGATCCAGCCCAAAATGTCAATGGTATTGAGACTGTACTTGGTTTAAGCAAAATTGCTTTTTCACTTATCGAACAGATGCTGCTTCCCCATTTAAGTGCCAGACGTTCAACAAAGTGTTGGGAACAGACACAGTCATTCTTGGGAATACACAGTGAGGCCCGCATGAGCTTTGGGAATTGTTGTCTTTAGGTGACAAGGAACACCAGAGTCTGTCCTCTGTGGAAAATGGCCTATGGGCCCAAAAGCTTAAGACCAGTGGATGAACACCACAGTGGACCCCAAAGTTAATGCCTCTCCCAGAACATCTCTCTGACTCCATTGTCAATCCAACTCAGTGTACATATACCAGAGATCCACCCAGCTACCTCAGAGCCCTCGAGATATGCCCTCCTCCATCCATTCCATCCAAACCGGACATCAGGGGGCAAATTAGAGGTAGGACTGAAGGAATGTCAACTCCGTGAGTTAGTGATTGAGATGAGAAGTGACAGTGTGCCTCATATCTGGACCAGGGGTCAGAAGCCGGGCCGTGTTTGTGGTGACCTCTGAGTCATGACAGAGCTGGAGGCATTTTCCGAGTTGTGAAACAAGACCTTGAAGGATCATTTGTTCAATAAACCTGAGATCCTTGTACGAACTCAAGACGTGAGTCCTTAAAATAGCTCTTTGCAGCTGGAGTGACACCATGCCAGTGGAAAACAATGTAAGCAGAGCTTTGTTGGGGGTGGGGAGGAGGCAAGTCCTGGGCAAGCTTAGATGTCTTGGCTCTGCCGCCTCTTGGCATTGGCTGTGGCACCTGCCCCTCTGTGACAGACATCTTGGGAAGACAGGACGCCCAAGGGAAGCTGTGACAACATCACCACAGGAGCCCCCTTCCCCACATAGCATCAAAATTCCCAATAATATATCTCTTCTAATCTCTCCGGGCACTCTTGAAAACTGGGTTTTCCTCTAAAAGGGCCCAGTGGAAACCTAAAGCATCTGGGAGATTATGGGAGTGGACTTTCTCATTCCTCCCCTTGGCACTGTTTTTTTGTGCCAGTATCTCCAACCTCAAGGGGTCATTTCAGCCAAGCAGAATATGGAACTAGATTAGGGCTTCTTCAGTTGGACTCTGCTTACATGCAGGTTCCCAGGGTTTGCCCAGGAACCCTCTGACGGGGTAGGTGAACTATGTGCCTGCATGTGTAACAGGCACCCAGGGTGTGTAATTCCCGTGCACACACAGTCTGAGCACTGCCGGTATAGACTACCACAAGGGCACAAGCCTTCCTTTTTTCCTGCTATTTTACCCATCGTTAGCTGGGAGTCGCAGTACCAGAATGATCTGCAGGGAGATGTTTCCATGGTATGCCAGAAACCTTTACCCCCGTGTGTCCATTGCCTGAGAGAGGTTTCAGTGCCTGATCATAATTTCAGGTCCCTGTAGGCCAAGAATTTATTTCACAATCTCCCTGAAATCATCTGATTACACCATTGTCCACAGAACCTAAATGAATCATTCAGTGACAGGTGTGACATCCAAATTAAGCTCCCATCTCTGCAGGAAGATTTCTGGCTTGTGTAGATGTGATTCTGCTGGCCTGTCCTACCTACACTGCTCAGGAAATAATGCTGCGTGAGTTTGAAGCCCAGATCATCTGTTCCCTTAGTGACTCTGGACTTAGGCAAGTTTCTGAAGCCGTCTCTGTCGCTGATACTTCTCATCTGTAATATAGTGCTTATTATACTATCTACTATATACTACCTACTATATTATACTCCCCCTACTATTGGGGGGGGGCGCTGATGAGATTAATTATATACTTTTAGAGAGAGGGAGAAAGAGAGAGAGTTGGGGGAGGGAAAAAAGAGAGGGAGAAAGAGAATTCCAAGCAGGCTCCACACCCAATGCAGAGCCCGACACGGGGCTGGATCTCAGAACCGTGATACTATGACCTGAGCTGAGATCAAGAGTTGCTTCACTGACTGAGCCACCCGGGCACCACTGATGAAATTTAACTAAATTAATATTTATAGAGCACCTATCTAGAACATGTTTGGTCTGTTGTAAGTGCTGTATAATTTTTAGGTAAGTAAAAATAAATAAAGGCCCAAGGTAAGGTGGCTCCACCCTTGTTGTCTAATTATTTTTGTTCGGGGCCCCAATATTGACTTAGCTCAGATGGGTTCCAGCAACAACACGGATGTGCCTGCCTGCTTGGGCTTGGGGAACGGTCTCTTCTGTATTTACTGTTCTTTGTGTGGCTGTTGCCCACATCTCTAGTCTAGCTCCATCTGTCCTCTGTTTTTCAAAGCTACAATTTTAAGTGTTTCTAGACAATTACCATCTCAAGCTCAACATGACATCCCTGAAGTCAAGGAGAATCGAACACCCTTAGCCAGAAATCTTCTTCCCTAGCAACCAACAGCAAACATTCCTCACACTCACAACCCAGAGGTTTGATGTCCCATATTTCTCAGGCTTTTTGCCCCATCCTTCTCTCCACCCCATATCCAATTGGTTGCTAAATTTTGATCACTTCTCCCTCCTTTGGATGACCTTTCTATTCACTTGGCTATGCCTCAGTTTGGGCCACGGCCTCTAATATGGTCTTTCTACCTCCCATGTCCTGCTGCTAAACCATCCTGTGGATGACTTCCAGAATCATCTTTCTATTGTACAATTCCCATACTTTTGTCCTCTACTCAAAAATGTTAAGAACTCTTCATTATCTACTGAATTAATAATAAAAATCGACAATATTATTTAAATTGATTGGATACTGACTAGGTATTACATGCTAAATTTTTTGCATGGATTATCTAATTGAGTCCTCACCAGGGTTCTGGTGTCAGACTAATTGGATTTGAACCCACTTTGCAATAAACAGACACACACACACACACACACACACACACACACTGTTATATAACTTATATTACTTAACACCTCCTGTGACTCAGTTTTCTCACCAGAACAATGGGAATGGTAGGTAATAACCACTACCTCTTGCAAGGCAAATGAGTTAATACATAATAAAGCTCTCGGAACAGTACCTGGTACCCAGAAAGCACTATATAAAAGTTTGCTAGCATCAATACTCAGTGCGGAAACACAAGGTGTCACTAATGTGACCCTGAGAAGCTCCCCCTTTTCCTCCCCAGCTATTCCAAGCCAAAGTAGCCTTGGGTCTACCTGGTGCCCTTCTCGGCACTGTGCTCAAGGGAGTGGTACTCACCCCTTGTTGATCAGCTGCCATTGCAAAGGATACATGAAATCAGCCGATGGTGTGGCCCAGCAGCTATTCAAAACCACTTTAAACCTGGGAATGAAATAAAAGGCATCCCTCTGAACCAGAGAACTGTGTGCCTAGAAACATCTTGGCTGATCTTTTTTCTTTTCTTTGTATTTAAAAATATAAACATGGAGGAAATATACTTACCTAATGCTCAACCCCTTGGCTTCTACTCCCGCAAACAGATCTGAACCGATTTCAGATGTCTCCAGGACAAAAGGGGCTTCCTTCTTAGTGGAGAACTTGGCATTCTTTAGAAGGAAATTGACACGGGGCATTACAACCTCTCAGACTGAGCAATTGAGCATGACAGGAACAGATGAATTGGGGCGGAGTGGGGGTGGGAGTTCCCCAAAAGGCACAGGCACATGAGACCACAGAGACACCCTCCAGGACTAGAGAAGGTGTACCTCCTAGGATGCTGGTACCATCTTAGAAAGGATGAGGCTATCACATCTCTGGATTTGCTGGTCACAATGAGACAACACATACTGTATGTCTCATCTGTGCCGATGAGGAACAAGATTTGGCTGATGGAAAAAAGGTAGAATCCAAGAATGCTGAAGCACTGAGCTTTACTTAATCACCCACGCAAATAGGGATGAAACACATGCAACCCCACTTTGCTCTCGCTCACCTTGACTATCTACCCGAGCAGATTCTAGCGTGGGTCAAAAAGCATAAGATCTGATTCCAGTACAATTAACAACAGCGGCAATAACAACAACCTACTGATTACCTACTAAGTGTCAGGCGCTGCTCTCCATATTGGGATAGTCTTTCATAGAGATGTATCTGAGAACAAAGCAAAGATCTCTGTCTCTAACCACCTGACTTTCTAGCAAGGGATGCAAACAATAGACAGCAGGTAAGTAAATTACATAATATGCTAGAATAGAATATAATACCTTATATAGAAAAACTATATGTGTGTGTGTGTGTGTGTGTGTGGTTATCACTTCCTCAGGCAGTTCTGGGTGAGTTAAGAAAAATAGTAGGGTGTCCAAATGACTTACCCAAAGGAGACTGACTTCTCCATTCATTGCCCTGGTTTCATTCAACTTCAGTAGCAACCTTTAACTACTCTCTGAGTTTAGCCTCCAGAGACAAAAGCCTTCTGACAGAAGCACAAGGATCCTGGGCTAATTCTAGTGCCCACTACTAACTTACAGGCAAATCAGGCTTTGGGGCCTCAGTTTCCCCATCTGCAAAATGGGAACGTCCTGTGCCTTCATCAGCCTTGCAGAAATATTTTTATGATGGTGATTTTATGTAATAGAAGTATAAAGCCTAAGCCAGGATACTAGTTAAAAGATTGACTTTCATGGACTTGGAGGTAAATAGTGGCAGCAAGGATATAGTTAAAATGGACTCTAACCCCCTAAGGGTCAAATTCAGGGCATTTGCTGAGAGGTCTTAGATTCATCTTCCAGGGGTCCTTCATTTTTAACTGGTTTCAGGTCCAGCTAGGGCTCCCTGACTCAGTCACCTAGAAGTCAGTTCTTTTCTTTCAGTCAACCCCCTGCACCACTCAGATGGTTGCAATAATTAAACAATAACATTCTTAATCATAAGTGATTTACCAGCATAATATGCAGGTAAAATGGCAGATTGACAATGACCGTTCCCGTTTATTGTTAGTTTCTGGGGTCTGTCATGTTTCAAGAGACTGTTTACAAATGTTGGACCTAACCTGGGGACCACAGTGAAGTCCCAATGTAGCCACTGGTGCTTCTCCCACCCCATCTCCCAGCGATCATCCCAGGGTATCAGGGTATTGGAATAATGCCTCTACTTGCAGAGGAGCTAGTGTGTTTCTGTTACAAAGTGAAGAAAAGAATCTGCATCATTAATTCCATTTCTGAAACAAAGCACTTTTAATGGTCAGTTTCTCCACTTCTCACCCTACAGCTAAGGCTATTATCAGTGTAATCTCCTCCTACTTTCTTTAGAACATGAGTTAGGGACCTATTTCCAGATAGCTTCATCCTATAATACTCAGACTGTATGTTCTGGCATTCCTGGAAGCACAGAAACACCACATAAATTACCCATTCGCTGAACAGGATGGAAGAACACCTTGAAAAATCATGCCCTCTGGTCCTTTCACTTGGCAGAAAGGTTGAGTCACAACTGGCTATTGACACGGTTAGGATGGGTACATCTGGCTTAATGGCAGTTCTCGTGGGCAAGAGCTGAGAGTTGCTGTTGCTTACAAGCTCAGTGTGAGATAGAAATGAAAGGAAACTGTGCAAAGCTAATATCCCAGAACATGTTCCTAGAATCTTTCAGAACTGAGAAGGTCACCTCTGACCCGCTGTGCCCTGCATAGGTCAGAAAAGGTCTAGAATATAAGATTTCGATTCCGGGCTCCACTTTTTAATAAGGGCACTGGCCAAGTGGATCGTTCTTAGAGAAGAAGGAGGAAGAGGATGGTAGAGCACCAATGGTGGAGAGATATTGGGGTAGGCAAGCCTAAGAGAGTTGAAGGGCCGTCGGCAACATCACGACTCAGAATTATTTCAGAAGACAGAACCACAAGCAATGGACTGTAGTTCAGGATGTCATATCTAAAATGCTGATCTAAAATGGGAAGGGTCAACTTGCCCTTGTCCCTGAAAGAGGTGGGGAGCCCACACCTTAGCAATCTTGCAGGAGGGCTTTGGACTTTGGGTGCAAAGTCAAGGTTGATCATCTCTTAAGATTGTTCTGACTTTGGAAGTCTATGAATTTGACCTCTATGGCTTGCACTTGTTCCATCCCATGCCTTTTTACTGGTCTCTGTCTAACTAGGAAGAAAGGTCAATACTATTTCGATCGAATAAGTCAACCTAGCCCCATACTGACATTGACGGCATAAAGGCAACAACATTCTAATGGCAACTGCCGGTGCTAGGAGCTCTCAGAGTTTCCACTTTAAATGGGGTCCCAGGCCCCAATCATGAAAGTAGCCCCAATTGGCTACTTTCACAGGCACCTACCTTGTGTCAGGTACTATGGTAAGTGCTTCATAAGAATAATTTTATTTAATCCTCATAATAGACATATGGGGTAAGTGCTATTATTAGTTTTATTTAGCAAAGGCATAGATGAAGGCCTAAAGAGGTTCACTAACTTACCCAAGGTCACACAACTAATAAATGGTAGAACTAGACTTTAAACCAGTGGGTCAATGACAGACTATTTTCTTAAGCACAGTGGTAGTCTACTTCTGCAAGCTGACTACCTTCCTTTATTTTGAATTGGGGGCCAAAATAACTTCTCACTGAGAACACCAACTATGGCCTGTTGGCAGGAGTGAGTGGGAGGGGGTAGAGAGAGAAGAGAGGAAGCATGTTGAGTAGAACTGGTGGTTTTGGAGCCCAGCATTTAGAGCCCTTGGAATCCTAAGCAATTGGCGGTGCATTGATCCTTTGTGCAATCTAGGGCACAGCTCAGTCTCTGGTAATTTGATGGAAATGTATGCAGGGAGCAGCTGTTGCTTCAGAAACACACAAGAATGCTCTCAAAGCGGAAGAAGGGAGGAGAAGAAAAATACCAGCCGCATGGGTCAGGCATAGGAAACCCAGACTATGGTAGGAATACTAATCAGTACAAAAGTTTCTGTTGCAACATCTGACTCCCTCTTTGCTGAGATCCGTTTGTCCTATAAAGGTCTTAATGGGTCCCAGGAGATGCCTTAGCTTCACTTCTAGAACAGCTCAAGGAAATGTCCTGTTATGTCTGTCTATCCAGCCCAGAGTATGGTCTGGGTGATGATGAGGATATGACATTTAATTTTTTTTTTCTTAAAAAAGTATAGGTTCCTTCCAGTTCTAAAATTGGATTTTTATGTCTGAAACAGTCTAACATGGTTGATGGTGAGAGATGATTTTTGATAATCCTGGTGCCTTTCTATTGCTAATTTCATAAAATCTTTATAGGATCATATCTATAATTTTATCTGGTTAAAGTAATAATCATGCACCTCAGGACAGGGACTCAGTAGGAAAGACAGCCTGTCACCATGATACCCCCTGAGACTGTTGTTGATGAGTAAGCCTGTTTTTCTCTCTGGACAACCTTCATCAGTTACTCAATGTTGTTGCTACCTTTTCATGCCCCTGCCAGTCCACACTGCATTAACTGTCCTGATTATAGGTCCAGGGGCTAATGGGATTTCTTTTTTCGGGACTTAACCACTAGTGGTTTGTTGTCAGGGGCAGATCTAGGTTCTTTGGGACCTCAAAGCTTATATAATTTAGAGAGTCCTTTCTAATAAAAGGAATCAAAATTTTGCATATGAAATGAGGCCCAGGGCCTTAAAGGAAGCCAGTGCAAGAGAGAGGTCATGAAACTTAAGTTCCATCCCCTTCATAGGAAATAAGCCTCAGAAAGCAGTGCTAAGAGAGATCCGTATGCTAGACTGGGCACTGCTCTGAAGTACCTGCGGGATTGTGGGCACATCATTTCTTCCTTCTGGGCTTCAGATCTCTATCTGTAAAATGGGCCAAGTGACTCTAGGATCCCTCCTAGAGGATCTCTCACCTTCTGAGTTCAGCTGGATTGGTGGCTTCCAGGCAGGCGGTAAAACAAGTTCAAAGAGTTCAAGGTCAGTGGAGTTCCAGGTAATAGAGTCATTTCCTTTGTGAAATGAATGGATTGGGCGTGATGGCTTCTAAAGATATCTCCCAGTTCTAATGTTGTATGTAAAAGTTTCTATTTCTGCCTGCATCTTCCTCCAGCCAGCTGGAGTGTCACTATAAGTATGCTTCCTCATTGGAAGCTACAGGTTTAAAAAACAAAACACCCCTTCTAAACAGGAGGGCAGCTGGGCTAATGGCCACTGCATATTTAGTTTTATTTTGAGAGACCAAATTATGCCTTGAACTTCAATGTCAACATAGGCAGTGTGCCCAAATTAGACCAAGAGGAAGCCCACTCTCCGAAGGGCTTTGGATACCAAAGAACTAGGCAGCAGAGGGCAACCCCATCCTCTCTCCTTAGCCCTGTCCCGGGTAGAAAGGTCACTACTCTGTGCCAAATGCTTTAACAAGAACTGGATGCTAATATAAATCTCTGGAGTGGATTGCGGTGGAAACTAATCTTGCCTAAGGGTTAGATGTTGGCTGACTTACTGCCTATTGACCTTTGGCCACTCACGGGATTTCTCTTGCCTCAGTTTTCTCAAAATCTGAGAAGGGTAACTTTATAGCTCTATGGCACTTCTCTCAGCTCCTCTATCCAGGCTATGAATCTACCTTTCTGTGGCATCTAGTCTTTGAAGAGATTTAGAACTAGACCAAAGCTTGTCTCTTCATTTCAATTCAAGAATGGGGTTCTGCATAGAGCTTAAGGAAAAGCAAACTTGGAAGAATTATCCTGTCATCTCCTGGAAAGGCCACAGGGCACTAATGAGAACCTGGAGACCACTTACAGTGTAGAAGTTGAGAGACAATTGGCTTTCAAATGTGCCCATGCTCCCGTTCTTCACGTGAACAGTGGCCACTCTGAAAAGGGGAGAGAATTTTGCATAAGGACTGAAACATGCCTGATTGACAGGGACTGCAGAACACACACAAGGCAGCCAGCCCTCCACTCTCAGAGTGACTTACCTCTGGTCAAAGGCAGCCTGGTTCACCAAGTAGGTGGAGTGGTAGGTGCAGGAGAAGGAGTAGTTCACGGGCTGGTTCTTTACGATTACTGTGCTGTCATTGGAAACGATGTGGCTGTAGAAGTGATAGATGGGGGGCTTGTACTGGAGAAAGGAAGAAGGCAGTTAGGGTGGCCCTGGACCCCATGATGAGAATGAGGGTTCTGGAAAAAGTGATAGAAGATGGTCAGACCAATAGGAAGACATCTGTGTCTGCCAGTCATTGACGTCCGTGCCTACTCTTTTGGATGTGGGTTGACTGATAATGTTTGTAAAGAGTTCTTGAATACGTTCAGCTAAAATTGTTTAAAATAATCTGGGTTGAATGTTGTACACTTACAAGAAACCCATATAGCCATTGGGCTTCTGACCAAGAAGAACTGGCCAAAGAATCTCTGTTTCCCAGCATCACCTTTTTATCCATTTCCCCCGTCCAAGTAATCTTGCATGAATGCCTTCACTCATCTCCCACTTCTAGAACGTTATTATCTCGTGCGTTGCTTTTTCCTTCTGCCAATAATAAGTACTATTTCTGCGACTTTTTCCTCTGACTTGTTGAACTCCAAGATCACAGAATATTGAAGCTGGGATAGATCTCGAACATCCATGTGAGAGGTGATCTGCCTAAGACCACACTGATGATTTCTAGCTCATTCTTTCAGGATACTCAAAGACATGATGTTTCTGTTAATCATGTCCATGACTCTCTGAATTCCTGAATCCTTGCGGGGCCTTTAGGAAGAGGAAGTGGCCCTGGGTGCTCTTTGCTCTCATTTGCTGAGACCTTATTTATGTACAATCTTGTGCAGTCAAGGCAGTAGGAATGCTAGGGGTCAGCAGTGGCGCAGTCTCCCTTCGTGACTACACCCCGACTGGTTCTGTGGCCCTCAACTAGTGACTTTATTGGGAGGTTTCCAATGTCTCCTCTATCATCTAAGGATTTTTGGCAAGAGGGGGTCTGTGGTTCCTTTTAACTCTGATTACCTGCTCCAGGTGCTTCATGAGACCCAACTATGAACTGTGTTGCACTTTGGTTACTTCTTTAAAATGCACTTCTAACTCTCTTTCATCACCACTTCAAAGTCTCAGGCAGAGGATGCCTCACCATCCGGCCAGGGAGGATGGCGCCTTGTGAGCACATGCTCAGAACTCAAAGCAGGGTGGACATAGGAAATGTACACTGTTGTACTCACAGAAGGTTGCCTACGTTGCTCAGGCAACAAATTAGGAGAATAAACTTTATCTTATTTTGGGGGCCTAGTTTTCTTAGCAACTCTTCATTGTGTGGCCTGGTCTTACCTCAGACTGGGTCCCACAGTAGGACTTGTTTTTAGGCGACAAATCTGGGATCACAAATTGATAGTAACCTCCTTCATGGACCCCATTGTAACACAGCCCACCAAGCGCCAGCTGATGCACTTCCCAGCCGTAAGGACACTCGGGGATTTTGGTGATGATGGTTTTGGGATAACAAAACACGAGAATGACATCTAGAAAGAGGATACACATGGTTTGAAATCAGATACGGTGATCATATCAATCTACATAAAGAACAGCAGGTTCTAGCCACACATGAACATGCAAAAGGGTTGGTTAGAAACATTTTCCTCATTATCCTTCATGAGCTGTGATGAACGCTTTCCCAAAACCTCGGGACTCAAAATTAGTCCCGTTTTAAGCTTTGATCTATTTTAAAGAATATATCTGTGAAACCAGACTGAATGGATTAGAAATATATATAAATTTAGAAATATATACAAATTTCCATGGCCATGAAAGTGAGCATGTAACTTAAAATTTTTTAAAATGTCCATTTCATGCATAACATCATGAAACACTATTTTATAGCACAGAAGTTCAACAGTCAAATAGAAAGCAGAAAAACAGTGGTGATTTTATATCTATCCATCTATCTACCTATCTATCTATCTACCTATCTACTCATCCATCCATCCATTCATCCATCTATCCATCCATCTAGGATTCTCTAATTTTAAAAAAGTCTATGTTTATCCAATACATTTTCACTTCCTATGGGAAAAATCTCATTGGCACCGGAGTGCTTAACAGCTTCTACTTGACCATGATATTGAATTTTGATAACAAGATAAACACAGAGCTCTGAACTTTGCAAAGAAAAGCTTCAGGAAACTTTCCAGAAAGATGGACGGGCACCGGGGCATACCTGCTTTATTCGGAGTGCAAGATCTTGCAGAGGCTTCTGCAAAGACAGCCAACAGGACAAAGGCCCTCATCACCATTGCTTCTCAGAACACACTCTCTGCCAGGCGGCCAAACCAAGCTGGCCAAATGTTCACAGTCCTGCCAGAGCCCGAGCCTCGATCACTCTAGGTCAGAAACATGAGCGAGAAGTTAAAATCAAGGGTGAAAATCAAGCAGCACGCACCGTTGGGGGAAATTTCCAAGAGAGATCAATAATTCTGTCCCTCTTTCTTAATGGTTCCTTGTCTGTGCTGAGAGGCAGAAAGTGGGGCTCATACCACCGGGGACGTCAATGACACATGCGGTTGCTTATGTTTCTGACTGTTTCATTCTCTCTGGACTGTAGAGGCTGTCTCCCAGATGCTCCCCAAATCTCCGGCTTCAGTCCTAGCTCGACTTTATATCAGCTGAGGGTGTAAAAGAAACCGGCTCCAGATAAATCACAATGAACACGCATTATCCACTGTGGAGGGAAATAAAAGGGAACCTTGCACAATAATCCGATAGGAAGCTCAGTTACAGCTGCTTGAATCTAATTTATTTTACTTCACAGTGTTGTGAAAACTTTTTTTTTTTTAAACTGCTTCAACCAGGATTGGAATAAAAAGTTGAATTTTTCCCCCTCATACAAAAAATAACTGTGATTGGAGGCAAACTGATTTCTGTACAGTTCCAGGTGACAATTTTCTTTCTTTACGTCTTGCTTTCTTACATTCTTGTTTTTATATGTAGGCTGTCTCAACTTTAAAGAGGACCCAAGTTCAGCTGTGTTAGACCCGCTACTCAAACAAAAATACGTTGTTTGTGTTAACGCAAACATGTGAAGGGTTTTTTCCCCCTCTAATATTTTTTTAATATTCACTTATTTATTTTGAGAGAGTGGCAGAGAGAGGAGAGAGAAAATCCCAATCAGGCTCCATGCTGTCAGTGCAGAGCCCGATGCGGGGCTCAATCTCACGAACTGTGAGATCATGACCTGAGCTGAAATCGAGTCGGACGCTCAACTGAGACACCCAGGCGTCCCTCCCCTCTAATATTTTTTAATAAACGCTGAACCAGAATATCATTCTGGCATTTCTCTAGAACTTCATCCTGAAATATAACTTTTTATTTTACATCTGTGGGCTTTTAAAGTTCTGTTAGTCTCCCAGAGCAATATTAGAAAGGCAATCTTACAGCTCAATCCTTTATCACCAAGCAAGATCCCACTGAAAACGACAGATAAAATGCTGCTCCTGGGAAGTTGCTGAATATGTTACCTGAGATTTTGGGGCACCCAGAAATTTAAGAATGAAAAATCAGGGTTTGTTTTAATCTATGTTTTTAGAAGAAACAGACTCTTTTTATCAATTAAGTGAGGGTATGTTGTGTGGAAACCCCTACATAAAGCCCTTCAAGAGATGGGTGTAAAAAGTGCAGAAAAATGCCTTGCTTGGCAGGGCTTTACAATGTAGCTGAGAATCTAAGTCACCAAAACACACTGACTCAGCATCAGAATGCTGGGCTAACTCGTTATTTGCTACTTACCACATTTCCTTAGTTTTAAGATACACATCCCTTCCTCCAAGTGTATGTAATCGAATGTTGCAGAAACACTGGGATGTGTTTTACAAGCAATATGTATACATAATATGGTAAAGTTTCCTCACTTCTTAAAAACCTGTTGTTAAGTTGGGTTATGTCTTACAACAACGATGTCTAAGAACCAAGGAAGTGGCCGTGTGGCAGGTCATTAAAAATGTCTGTGACTCAGTTTCCCTCTCTCTAAATGGAAGCCATAGGCCTGGGCTTACGTCACAGGGAGGAAGAGCAAAGAAATGAAGGTTTTTTTTTAAGCTGTAAAGTGGTGGACAAATGGTAGATTACATGAAAAGACAACGAACAATTTCGTGCGAATGTCTATGTCCCGGAGTTGTTTTGTTTTCTCCTCAAAGAAAAGTACCACAATGTGTTGTATCCTAGATTCATTTAACAGGAGACATATCTACATTGTATAGCAGACATGCATGTATTTTATGGATAAAGACCGAGTGGGCTGAAGAGGGAAGGGGGGATGGAACATAATTTTTTAATCTGTACACTTGGATCAAGTTTCATGTGGCCCGGAGAGACCAGCATGCTTATAGCGATCTCCGCAGTTCATTACAGGCGTTACTTCCTGAGCACAAAAAAGGGCACGTGACTTTGACAAATATGTGTGAATTCTCTGAGTTTCTCTTTTGTAGGGTTTAGCACTAACTCTGTGCTTCTTCCTCCATCCTTTTCCTTAAACATTTGAGCCCCAACAGTATACCATGCCCTGGGAAGACACAGGCAAGTCAACTGGGTGGGAGGTGAGGGATGCGCAGAGTGATGGGATATGGGATGTAGGATGGAGAGGAGGGAAAAGGGGGAAAATCAAGATGCTTGGCAGAGGAATTCCCAAGTAAGCCAAGTCACAGAGGCCCAAAGCAGCCTAGCCCATGGAGCATGGCCCCTCTGATTCAACATAATGATTGCTCATCACTGATAACTCAGTATTGCTCTTCCAGGTATGCTGGGATATTTGTTTCTATTTCAAAAAGGTTCTTCTCACACATCTTCAAATACATCCTTCCTTTCAGCCAACTTTGGCCCAGGTAGGTCAACAGGATCATCTTGCCTCTGACCTGGAAGGGCAGCGTTCACTCAAGGAAAGTGTTGCAGTGGAAATCAAAACCTTTCTTGTCTCCCAGTGGGAATGTCTGATAAATGCCTATAAGATGCTGTGAGGCAGAATAGGATAGGTTGGGCAGACAGACTCTGCTGTTGGCCTGAGATCAGAAGTCCATCAATACCATTTACTAGCTGTGGGTTCTTGGGGAAGTTACTTAGCTTCCACGAACCTTAATCTCCTCCTGTCCTAAAAGGATATGAATAATATCTATGACATAGTTTTAGAGTATTAAATGAGATATAAATAATTTTACAGAGACCTGGTTTCTTTTCCTCTATAAGGGGCAGGGCATCAGGGAGAACTTGTTTTATGCTTTGTTCTGCTTGGGAAATCCAAAGAGGGAAGCCCATTAAGAGTGGGTCATCACTGGGTAGTATATACATTATGGTCATCAATGCTGAATGGTGTCATATGTAACTAAGCACAGGTTGTGATTGAGAGATTATGATTCGGTCACATTTCCAGTTGTATGATTTTACACAAGTAACTTGACCTTTCTAAGCCTTCAGTTTCCAAATCTGTAAAATCAGGCTTCCTGTCTCCTATGGCCGTTGCAAGGACCTAATGAAATGATACATGTAAATTGCTTAGCACAAGTCTTGGCACACAGTAAATGGTCAGTAAAGTTTACTGACATTGAGTTTGTTCATCTGAGATTGGTATCCTCAGGCTAGGAAGACCTATCACTAGTGTTCTCATATGAACTCTGGGCATTTTCTAATGGGAATATTTCTCTCTTTAGAAGCCCACCTTATCAAAGAGCAAGTGCTTTTGATTTCTAGAAAAGCCTGATAATGATAAGATCTTGCCTACAATTTCTTAGAGGTGGGGGCCCAGCTAACAATCAGGTATATGATACTCCTTTCAAGGGCAAGTTGAATGAAGTTGGGGAAGCGGAGTCAACTTTTGTGGCAGGCAGCTCACTAGATGTTGAATTTGCATAAGAAACAGAACAGGACAAAATGTACTTGGGCTGAACAGTATTTGATGCTTGCTCTGATAAAAGGTAGGAGGCTCCTATTTTTTCCTGGTTATTACCCACTGTTTCACTCCTCCACCCCATCCCTTCTCTGCTTTCCAACACCCCTCTCCCTTCCAGAGATGATGATGGAGTCAGAGGGAGGCCACTGGGGGATGGACCCCGGGGCAATGTCTCCCACTGAGACTTAAACTGCTATTTCTCCATAAAACACAGAAATGAAACTGATGGGAAGATTTGAACAATCCCAGGATCCTGAAAGAATCCAGTAAAGGGGATTTTATGGCAGACTCATCTGAAAGGTGAGCTCATCTTTCCTGTGCTTTTCTTTTGCGAATTGCCAGGCAGTAGGAGTTGTCTGTTCTATCTGAAGGTCTTGCATGATCTGTGAAAGCTGACCCAGACACCAAAGGGTTGCCATTGCAAAGTTCCAATCAACATTTTCATTCATAGCTCAGAAATCATATAGGTGATGAATCATGATGAAAAACAAACTAGGAAGCACTTATAGTAACAGATGGTACTTTAGAAATAAAGCTAATAAACATGCATTAAAGTTTAAAAGGCTTCTTTATTAACTTATTTTTTAAAGCACACTGTTTTGAGTTCATTAAGTGTTGGCTTTGTTAAATGGACTCCATTGTTTCCTTTAAGCCCTGAATCAAGCCTTCTTCTACTTTGTGGGAGACTCTTGCCAATTTGCAAATGAGTGGGCGTTCCCATACAGGCTTCAATGGCTTACTCCTTGGGAATTAATAGTTCTCCAGAGAAAGTGGTGTTCCCCTCAGAGAAAATACACTTCATAAAGGAGAACTGAGAAGTGAGAAAAGAGCCTGTGCTGATAGGGCATCAGAAATTCAGAGCAAGAAGCTCCACCTCCCCCATCCCTCCCCAGATCCAGCAGCCACCATTTTCTGGGAACCAGACTGACCCAGGCAGATAAACTGGTCTTTCCAGGAGAACCTCCAGTCTTAACTGGCTAATCTCTAAGCAGGGGATAAAACCTTACCATTTTCTCAGGAGAGTAGAAACCATCAGCCCCTCCTTTGCCTGTTTCCCCACCACCCTCCTCACCTCTAATTATATGACTAGAGAATGAAAAATAGCTCCTTTTCAGTTCAAGATTAGGGATCTTATTGCTGGTCTAAAACATGCAAGGTGAATAATTTGTTAAAACTTCCTAAGGTATCATCCTTTTATTCTCTCATTCATTCATTCATTCATTCATTCATTCATTCACCAGACACATAATGAGTGTCTCTTATGTACCAGGTAGTAATCAAGTAACGTATATGAATATGTAGACAGATGGTCCTCGACTTAATGATGATTCGACTTAAGATTTTTTTGACTTTACAATGGTG